GCTCAGTGAGTGTCCACTGTGCCTCCCCGTGATATGCAAACTCTTCTAAGCCCCGTTTTCCCATGAGAAAACAGAGGCAAGGAGACACGAAATGAGAGGCAGAGGCTGGACGTTGCCCCAGGTCTGCCTGAGTCCCCCTTCCTCGGGCACATGGAGCCTGAGCTGGACCTCGACCCCAGAGGGAGGAGCAGGAAGACAGCTCCAGGTGCGCACCAACAGGCCCGGAAAGCAGAGCAGCTTTGGCCTCTGTGCAAAGCCACCAGGTGGTGGGTCCAGCCTTCACCTTTCATCAGTCTGATCCCTTCCAGCTCTACCATTAATAGGACAAATCATCAGTTATTTGGACTCAAATTTGACAAATTAAATGGCAGAGAATTAAATAAGTTGTAGATCAATACTATCAGCATGATCAATTAATTGTTCCTTCTAATTAAAACTACCAATTCCTAGTACCTTTCAGTTATAGTTTGTTGCCCAATTTCTAATTCAGAGCATCTAGGCAGTTGTATTGATTGCAGGTATACTGATACCTGGTAATCAAAAAAATGTATTCATCAGCACAGCTGATTATGGGAGATCTGGTTCAATAACCGTCACCTAGGTGCAGGAGGCTGGCTTATTTCAGCGTGGGCTTTTCTAAAGGTACTGGAGACTTGTCATTTCTTTCTGTTTTGTGGTTCTACATGGTACACGGAATTCCTTGTTTTGTGAACAAGAATTGTAAGAAGAAACAGGCCAGGGTACTGACAAAGCAGGCGAATGGACAAGCTCAGGTGGTTCTTCAAAATTGTGTTTTAACTTTAATCTTTCTTCACGAAGGCTTTGCTACTTAATTTGTTGCTGGTGTGCTGGAAAAGGGCTCTCAGGATTTGGGATGAAAGGGCCTTTGGAGGTATAGATGGGTGCCACCTTCATGGTTCCCTTGGGATAAAGTGACACAGCAAGCATTGCACAGCCTGTTTCCCAGCACCCATCAACTTTTTTTGTTTTTAATTGGGTAACAGTGTGTTTGTCCAGGACCCATCAGCTCCAAGTCAAGTAGTTGTTTCAATCTAGTTGTGGAGGGCACAACTCAGTGGCCCATGTGGGGATCAAACGGGCTACCTTGGTGTTATGAGCACTGGGCTCTAACCAACTGAGCCAATTGGCCGCCCCTCCATCAACTTTTAAACAAGCACAAATAAAGTTTCTTATTTAACCGATGAATCTAGCATTCCAGTGACAACACTGGACAACTTGTAGTTGTCAGAGGAGGAAAATGAAGCTCAGAGAAGTTCAGTAACTTGCTCCAAGCGACTCAGGCAGCAAGGGAGGAGTTGGGACCAAACCTTGGCAGCTGACTCAGGAGCCCTGGCTTTTAGCAAGTATTCTATACAAATGAGTTCAATGAACTTGACAGATTTTTCAGGGGCACATAATGCAATCCAAGTGTAAAAAAAGTGGGAGTTTTAGTGTCACTGCAGCAGCTTGCTTGGCAAGACGGCGATGTGTGGCTGATAGGGGAAGTGATACAGTTTTCAACAAAGCCTGCAAATTAATCACACTTAATTAATGTGACTAATGTGTTAAAGGAACGAGCGATTAAAATATTAGCATTCTGAACTTCTCCTCCCTGGCTAATTTCTTCTCCTCCCTAGGGTTACCATCTTTCAAAGAGGTAGGGGCACAGAATTACCGAAACGAATTTTATGGAACAGGAATACATTTTAAATGGCTTAAATTGGGGACAGTCTGTGCAGTTCTCAAGTGGCTGTCAGTCTTCACGTCTCACTGCTCAAGCGAGGGACGTGGGCTGAGGGAAGAGGCTGAAACTGCCTCAGCGACTGGAGCTGGAAATAGAAAGCCAGGCATTTCCCGGGGTAATGGTGTAGAAACAGGAGACAGACGTGGGGGCCGGTCAGCGGGGAGGCAGCCTGCCTTTCTGTTTAAGCACAAGGAGAGATGAAAGTGGCTGCGGAGGCGTGCCCCTACAGCAGGGTCACGGGTGGTGTCTCACTGGCTCTGTGCTTTGATCAGACATAGAGCTGCTGTGTCATAAATGCATTTTGAGGACGATCTTTGGAGAATCCTGGCTCAGTCTCCTTAGAACACACCCCACTCCCTGACCATATACAACCCATTACCCGGATGGCAGCGTCAAGTGTGCAGAGAACAAGAAGTGTCTCAGAATATGACTCACAGACTTGGGGTTGGGGGATTCCACTGCTTGTGGGCATTCCACTACCTTTGGCAACAGATCAGGTTTGTTCATGGGGTTGTGTAAACTGGAGGTCCCACACTCAGAAACATCGGTGGATAGGCAGGTAATGTAACTGGAGTGAATAAGATGGGGAAGAACCCAGACCACGAAGCGAGTTCTTACCCCAGTCTTTTTCTCCATGAGGATCCAGAACTAACGTGGTTAGATCTTCCAGTTTCTAGAAGAAAGACGTGTATGTGTGTGTGCACGTGCGCGCGCGCGCACACACACACACACACACACACACACACACTAGTTTCCTTTCACTGCTGTAAAAAATTACCACAGATTAGTGGCTTAAAAATACACATGTATTATTTTACAGTTCTGGAGGCCAGAAGTCTGACGAGGGTCTGCAGGGCTGTTCCTTCTGGAGGTTCCAGGGGAGAAGCTGTTTCCCGGCCTTTTCCAGCTGCACCAGGCTGCCCGCACTCCTTGGCTCCAGGTCCCATTCCTCTGTCTGCAAAGTCAGCAGCATAATACCTTTGCTCTTCTCTGATGTCCTGCTTCTCTCTGGGCAGGACCCCGTGGTTACATTGGGTCCACTGGGACAATAAAAGATAATCGCCCCATCTCAGCATCCTCGCCAATACAGTCCATTGCCTGAGGTGCCGAGGCGCTGAGGAGGGTCCAGGGGAAGTGGTTGGTGTCCTGTGGACCTAGTGAGAGGATCATAAATGTGTCAGCAGGAATCAAAGGAAGTCTTCTCACAGGAGGTAGGTGACACGTCAGATAAAAACCTACCAGGGAACACTCACCTGGTGCTTAGTATGTGCCAGGCCCCTAGCAGGTACTTCACACGTATCAGCACATTTACTCCTCCCTGGTGACGTCATCACCATCCCCGTTTTACAGGTGAGAGGTTAGGAAATCTGCATGGAGCCCACACACAGCCAAGCAGAGAACCTTCATTGGTTTATACACCCACCACCATCACAAATCTGCCAAATATGCACACTGCTTGTGGTAATATTTAGCTAGTATTCAAATTAACTTTTTTTTTTTAAAGATTTTATTGGGGGAGGGGGGCAGCGTTGGGGAATTGGGGAAGGGGAACAGACAAGTTGCTGTCCTTTTGTTCTTCAGTCTAGTTTTGGAGGACATCGCTTCACTGGCCCGTGTTGGTATTATCGTTGTGCTCTTCCCGGGTGAGGCAGTCACTCGCTGGGCCCTGGACGGCTGCTCACAGTGGCTCACCACAGCTCAAGAAAGCTCATGCCTGCCACCAGCCAGCCCCACTGCAGCCTACGCCGCCTCTGGCGACTCACATCAGCCCAGCTCTAGGTCGAGCTGTTGTTCAGCATCTTAGCTGTAGAGGGCACAGCGTCACTGGCCCTCATGTGGGATCCGAACTGGGGCGCTGCTGCTCAGAGCTGGCACCCCAAGCCAACTCCTAACCAACAAACCACTTGGCCGGCCCCAAATTAACTCATTCTTGATCTAAATAAACATACAACAAACTTTATCTCACTATAGTCATTGGAAAATCAGTAAGGATAGAAAATAAATACTATGAAAATAAACATGTTATTAAATCCTCTTCTAGATTTAATTTCCTGCCAAGGGCTTTGAATTCAAGTCCTATTCAGTTAAAAGGGAAATTAGCAAATGTTAGAGAAGAATTAAAGATATGTTAGCACCAAACCGTGAGTTTCTCATTGGTGTAGTAAGAAGGATTGAAAGAGATGTGAAAGGGCAGTAACTTTCTCACCATGCTACAGGAAGCAATTTAAAGATGTAGCCCAGCATCCTCTAAAATCTTACTTAGGGAAACTGGCAGTGGTTTAGAGCACAGACTCAGGAGGCAGACCACCCCACTTCAGGGCTTGCTGCCTCTCCAGCCCTGGGCATGGACCTTGGTTTCCTCATTAAAATAGCTGTTACTTCATAGGGACCTTGACTATAAATGAAAGAAGGAAGGTAAAGCACAAAACCTAATACAGAGTAAATGTTTAATAAACATAAGCCATTATCAAGATAAGTATTATTAAGCTTTGCATTCAAGTCCCTGAGCTTTACAAAATTTATGTTTTACATAATGACAATAACTATTATAGTAAACTCAGCTGTTACTATATGCTGGTCTCTATTCTAGGTTTTTTATATATATCCTAAGACATATACACACACACACACACACACACACACATACACAAACACACACATGTCTTAGGATATATACTAGAGATGCAAAAAAAATGTATGGAAGTGGACACTTTGGTGAACGTTGCTCAAGCAGTAGTTCGCTGTAATCAGAAGGGTCTGGATGCTGATGGGAACCACTTTGAGCACCTCTTGTAATTACAGGACTCAAGCATGACTTGTTTTCATCTTTGTTACCGGTATATATTGAGTATTACAATTCTCATACAGTTTTCCTTTCTTATAATGTGTATGCATTTTTTTAGCACCCTCTGTATAGAAAGATACAGACGTGTATATTAGGCTATATATGCACGTGTTAAGAGCTACTATCCTTTCTTAAACTATTATAACGTATTCTTAGTCCTAGGCCCCCACAGATGAACGTTTTGCCCTAAGGGACCGCACAGTCGCCCACGGGACGTTCCTGGTGGCCTCCTTTCCCCTCTTTCTTCATGGCCGATCCTGGGACCCAGACCCCTACAGGTCCAGTCTGACTAACGAGGTGGCACCGCCTCCTCCCCTCCCAGCCCCGCCTTCAGCGTAGCCCCGCCCCCGACGCACGCTTCTCCAGGCCGGCGCGCCTCGCCCGGCGCGCTGACGTCATGGGACCTGCGCCTCCTCGCGCTTGTGCGGCGGCGCGCGGAAGGTCGTCCCTGTGACCGGCCGGGCGTTTGGAGCAGCTGTCGCCATGTTGTCGGCCGCCGCCCGCTCGGGCCCGTTCGCGCCCGTCCTGTCGGCTACGTCCCGCGGGGTGGCGGGCGCGCTGCGGCCCCTGGTGCAGGCCGCGGTGCCCGCCACCGCGGAGCCGGTCGTGCTGGACGGGAAGCGGCCCTTCCTCTGCCGGGAGTCGTTGAGCGGCCAGGCCGCGAGCCGGCCTCTGGTCGCCGTCGTGGGCCTCAATGGTGAGCCGAGCGGCCGGGAGCGGCCGGGGGTGAGGGGCTCCCGGCTTTCTCGCGCTCTCCGGCCTCGCCCCTGGGGAGCAGCAGAGGAGGCGGGGCTTTGCGGAAACGGAGCGGAGCCCTGTCGGGGGATCAGGTTGCCGGGCGGGTGGGCCTTGCGCAGGCCTCTGCGCCTCCTCGGGCCTCAGGGTCCCCACCTGTGCGGCGCCCCGCGGGGGGGGGGGGAAGTCGAGCATGAGGACGGTGACAGCACCTTCGGGGACCTGTGCTTCATGGACAAAGGCCTGCGGAGGTAAACGGCGCCCCGCGGGGGGGGGCGAGCTCGGGCGGCCGCCCCCCGCCGGCTTCCCCGGCTCCTGTGCGAGCCTTGCCGTCGGCGGCCCGTCGGGCTCAAGGTCGGACTTCCATCGGTTCAGCTCGGGAACGCTGGCGTCCGGCTGCTTCCGGCCAAGTCTGGCGCACATGCTGCTGCGTGAAGGTCGTTTGCCTTCGGGCAGAATTTCTAAACGTTTTTTTTTCCCACCAGTGACATGGATTCATGGTTCCACCAATTTCTATGCTATTCCCCCCGGTGCCGACGGAAACAGTCTGTGTAAAGCCATCAGTACATTTTGGGGGCACTTGATAAGTGCTCGAAACTAGGACCTGCTGTTAATGTTTGTGGCGTTGCCCTGCTCACACCGCCGACCCTCCGAGCCCTTCCCTTTCACCCCCCACCCCCGCCCCCCACAACAATAACAGGCCTCAAGGTCACACAGCGGGTCGAGTGTCAGCAGTGACTTCAGGCTGCGGGCCAAAGGGCTCTCACACCACTCAGCCTCAAGGAGAGCCGCAGGCCGAGTTGGTGATGTGCCCATTTTACAGGCGAGAAAACGGCCCAAGAGGCGAGCGACCTGCACAAGGACACGCACTGTACGAGCCAGCGTGGACCTGAGAGGCCGACCGAGCCTTGAGCTCTGGTGCGCGGCGCCCTCTGCGCAGATCCTGGCTTGTCTTCCGTGCCGGGCCTGGCATTCCTCTGCCCGCGCTGTATCGGCCGCATTGGCAGCTTGCGGGGCGGTGGGCTGTGCGTGGGCTGGCCCCTCGGTTGGAGCAAGTGCTCGCCCACTCCCCACGCCCTCCCCGGGCCGCCTAGATCCGCCGTGACCGGCCTGGCCGCACTGGCAGCAGCGTGGTGACGCGCGCCCTGCCTGCCGAGCTGCCCCCTCTGTCCCGCCTTCATCCTCCCTGTGCTCCGAACTCTCAGTGCCATGCCCGCTCCGTTTTCCTCAATCCCAAGACTTGCCCATCCTTTCAGTCTCCGTTCAGGATCAGGTCAATACAATCTTATACTGGCCAATTCTTTTATGTTTTATGTTAGAGCACAGAACAGTTTCTGCGTTGTGTTTACTGGTGATGCCTTGACCTTGAGCCTGAGGGCATCGAAAATGTCTCCTTTATGCTGTCTTCCGGTCTTGGATTTTGCATACAGTTGGGGCAAAATATTTCCAAATAAAGTGGCGGGTTTTATAGGGGGCACCATTGGGTTTTGGAGAAACTGTACAAGGTAGGAACAGGGTACCAGCCCAAGCCTATTTGGACCTGGTGAGAAACAAAGGGAGGAGAAAACAACGAAGGTGAAAAGCATGATTGGAATTTGTCAAATTGGCTAAAGGTTTTCTTCTAAAGATTGACGGCTTGTGTGTCTTTCCTAAGAAGTGGTAAATAGTGTAGAACCGTAAGGCAGACTTCTGTAATAATTTCTTCGGCTTGTAGCTTAAGTTCCCATTAACATCACCTGTGTAGGCGGCTTGTGGAGAGGTGGTTAGTAGGGGGTGTGGGGTGACGGGTTGGACCAGGAGAAGACCCCAGCCGGGAAGGAAGATTTCCAGGGCACATCACAGCTCACCTTCAACCGGTGTTGTTACAATGGTGTACATTTTCTCTCCTTCTAGATGATATTTCTATAAATACCTGATTTTGCTTTAGTTTAGAATGAAATGTAGCTAGCATCTTTGCTATTGAAAGTCAATACAGTTCATGTAAAATATTTAGAGAATGATTATTGCAATGTGGCAGTTTAATTTCCCAAAGCATTCTTGATGGAATAGCTCAATACAGGATGGGAGTAGACAGCTGGATTTCCTTGGCCAGCAAACCTCTGGATGAGCATGTCAGAGCCATTCTGTTTAGCGTTCCTGTACGTTTCCTTGTGTGCTGGTACGTGGTTAAGGGTTGTTGCTACTGTTTTTGTGTAGAAGTGTGAACTTTGATTCCTTCATCTTCTAGGTGTGATACACCTTTCCTCTGTAAACCCAGACAATGCTAAGGAAAAGTAATTCACCTTTGATCACCAATCCCAGTCTCCCCGGACAGGTTAGCATTAGGTGGAGGTAGGGTAGTACATCATGTGATGTCACTTGGCTGTAGTCGTGAATCTCAAGCAGTCACTACGTGTGTCCTGGTCCCTCCAGAAAATGTTGGGTTAGCCAGAAAAGTACACAGTGGTTCTGGTAGGTTTCACCGTTATTTATGAATACTTACAGCTTCCATAAAGTTCTTGACCTTGAAACCATGTGAAAAGTAGTTGATGTATTCTTCATTGTAATGTTTGGATGAGACAGTTTAGAAGGCTAAGTAGAATTACAGCTTTTATGAAAATGTATTTTATAAGTACGTACTTCCTTTGGAAACAACACATTTTCTAAAAGTGAGGCATTTTTAGCGTTCCCTTTTCTAAAAAGGAAAACTTCTACCAAATGTCCTTGAATGAGTATACAATTCGTAAAGATATTTGCTTCCTGAAACGTACTTATCAGTGACACCAGTAAGTTAAATTTGTCAGACGTTTAAAAATGGTATGGGACAGAAGGATGTAATCTTAGAGGGGAAAAAAACTACTTGCATCCAGAGTATTACATAAATAGTAATTGTTTTTTTATTTAACATTCAGACACAAGTATCTGGCCTAGATATGGCCTGCAGTGAAAAAGAAAGATAAAGCTCCTACTCTTAGGGAAGCGATTGCCCGTCACTGAAGAGCGGGATATGAAAGTTTGCTCTTTTTTTCCCATACTAAATTGAAATAATTGGTTCTTTTTGGAGATTTTATTTGATTTTGATAGCTGTTTCTTCTGATAAGGGCATCCTTTTCTGTCCATTAATGGTTTAATTTTCTGCAGCTAAAGTTATACTAACTGTGCAGAATGTTTATTATCTTGTAATTAGTATTTCATGAGTTTTTAGCAGTTCTTTCAGAGAGCAGGTAGATAGGAATATAAAGTTAGACATTGGCTTAGTAATGTGATCACACACATCAACTTATTGGGTGGATTAGATTTGTTTTAGGGTCTTCTAATCCAGAGAACATGGGAGGTATTTCACATAATTGTATATTATGTCTTGGCATGTTGAATTTGGGGGGAGGGACTTTAAAGTATTGCTGTTTACAGTGCTGTGTGGCTTCATACTTGATGCTCTGAATCGGTACAAATCCCGAATCCGCAGTGTTCAATAGGGGAATTCAATTCACACCTATAACCTTAGATTTCATACCTATGTGCTTAGTGGTGGCCGAGTTCATTTCATCTTTAGTATTTTACATGCTGGCGCTGCCAACTTGGCCATTTCTGAGACCAATGATGCCACTTTTCACATTCTTATAATGTGATTTCTTGCTTGTGAATCCATCAAGGCCTGTTTCCTGATAAAGACCCCCTTCAGGGTCCTTGTCTCACTGTGTTTTTTAACCTCTGTTTATCTTGCAGTCCCTGCTTGTGTTCGTTATTCCCACACAGACGTCAGAGTGCCTGACTTCTCTGATTATCGGCGCAGTGAAGTGTTAGATAGAACAAAGTCTTCCAAAGAGAGCACCGAGGCTAGAAAGGGCTTCTCCTACCTGATAACCGCGACAACGTCCGTGGCTGCTGCCTACGCTGCCAAGAATGTCGTCTCCCAGTTTGTCTCCAGCATGAGTGCTTCCGCCGATGTGTTGGCCATGTCCAAGATTGAAATCAAGCTATCCGATATTCCTGAAGGCAAGAACATGGCTTTCAAATGGAGAGGCAAACCTCTGTTTGTGCGCCATCGGACCAAGAAGGAAATTGACCAGGAAGCTGCTGTTGAAGTGGCCCAGCTGAGGGACCCCCAGCATGATCTAGAACGCGTGAAGAAACCCGAGTGGGTTATCCTGATCGGCGTCTGCACGCATCTTGGCTGCGTGCCCATTGCAAACGCAGGCGACTTCGGTGGCTACTACTGCCCTTGCCATGGGTCTCACTATGATGCATCGGGCAGGATCAGGAAGGGGCCTGCGCCCCTCAACCTGGAAGTTCCCGCCTATGAGTTCACCAGCGATGACCTAGTGATAGTGGGCTAGGGACCCGAACTCAGTCAGGCTCTTCGAGTCTTTATGTCACCTCAGAAGAGCTATTTGAGAGCAAGCCTTCTGTACTTCAAGTCGGTTGATTTAGAATATTTAAGACTTGCTAATAATGTATTTGCAAATGTTAATGTGAAGTAAATTGAATTTAATTTCAAGCATTCACCTAATAAAGCCACTGTTAACATTCTTGAGCTCAAAGACTGGAAAGGTGCAGTGTGTTCGATGGTTAATTCTAATTAAAAATCAGACTGGTGTGCAGGCTATCTGTGAACTCGGTAATTGACTTGCTCACTTCTCTGTGTCAGGGACGCAGATTCTGCAGAGCTCACGGTTAGTATGCGATTACAGTAGCTGGTTGCCTCCGAGTCCTGAGAGGTGATTAAGGCTCGGGCAGAAGCACTAGTGTCCGGGAATCCCTCCTAATCCCGCCCGTGAGTCCTGGCCAGTGTCCCCCCCTCCCCCACCCACACACACTATATAATCTGTATTTTAACACTGAAAGTACTCCATGGAAAACAGCCCTGAAGCCACTCTGAGGCCTTAGCCCCAGCTCTAGCTAGCTGATTTCTGCCTGTGTGACAGGCCTGAAATTTTAGGTGTCACTTAGGGGAAAACATAATTCGAATTCTTTATGTTTAAGAGGCGGTGGTGGGTGTTAGAATCTGAGAGAAGCGTTCCAAATAGGAGTTCTGCCCTGTTACTCGCTCCTGTGTGGGCCTTCATGTCCCCAGCGCTCCTGCAGTCAGCCTACCCAAAGGCGGGAGTAGTGCTGAGACCCAGCCCTGCCTGGAAATGACCCTGCTGACTTGGTTCTGCACTGCTTACATGTTGAGGTGTTTCTTCCAGTTGGATTTGCGGTAACAGCACTTTTCACTGTGAAGTGAGGGTGTGCACAGGGAGACATGTCAGAATTAACGCCCTCTTCTGGCCTCCAGCCTCCAGTTTCTTGGGGAAAATAAGTCCAAGGTCTGCTCCCCGAGGGAACTGGGAGTGGGCTTTCCTCTTGAGACTCTCAGCTGCTTTGATCCGCCTGTCTTATCTGCTGCTGGAGGTGGGTCAGGAATACGCGCTCTGGGCCACCGCGATCACACGTGCATTGTAAGCCATCTAGGCTAAGTGGTGAGGTCTTCCATGCAGGTTTCCAATCTATGAAACCAGCAGCTAAGTATCAAAAAGGAAAGCGGCAAAGTTTCTATATTCATGAGCAGGTGTTAGTCTTTGGTTCATTTTTACCACTAGAAAGAAAATTAGCACATGTTGTAAATGGGGTATATAACAATATTTTATGTTCTCCAGATAATGACAGGCTCAAATATCTCGGTGTAAATAGACAAAGTGCTAAACATTGCTAATTGACTACTTTTTGATAATGTTTTCTATTTTAACTGGAGGGCTTTCTGATCTTTTGAGCATATGTAGATTACCAAGGAAAAGTTGGTGTTTAAAAGTGAAGTGTCGGGCCGGCCGAGTGGCGCGTTGGTTAAGAGTTGGCTTGGGACGCCAGCTGTGAGCAGCAGGGCCCTGGTTCAGATCCCACATGGGGGCCAGTGACACTGCCTTCTACAGCTAAGATGGTGACAGCTCCACCTGGGAGCTGGGCTGCCATGAGTCGCCGGTGATGGCATAGGCTGCAGCCCCTGCTACAGTGAGCTGCCGTAAGCTACCGTGTGTAGCCAGCAGCCACAGTGAGTGGCCGGCAGCCGATGTGAGCTGCCAAGAGCTGCCGTGAGCAGCTGTCCAGAGGCCAGCGACCTATCTGTCTCACCCGGGAAGAGCGCAATGATAATACCAACATGGGCCAGTGAAGCGATGTCCTCCACAACTAGACTGAAGAACAAAAGGATAGCAACTTGTCTGTTCCCTTTTCCCCCCTTCCCCCCAAAAAATCTTTAAAAATAAATAAAAGTGAAGTGTCATCTATAAGCACCATAGGAATGCAGTACTCGTTAATACTTTGCAACATCTTCCATGAATGCCCCCCGCCCCCAATATCATGTGGCCCAGATGAGTTTGTATATCTTTGGTGGGTCCTTTATTTTTTTATTTTTTTATTTTTTTATTTTTTAGCTGAGCCATCCTGCCACCTGTTGGCCGCTCAGTGGCAGCTCAGCCTGGGCCGGGCATCGAACTGCTGTTGCTCAGAGCTCGCACTCTTCAGTGAGCTCTTAACCAACTGAGCCACTCAGCCGGCCCTTTGGTGGGTCTTTTGCTTGTTTATTTTTGTGGTGAAGATAATGTTTTTCTGCTATTTGTGGGGAAAATCATACACTTTCTAATACTCATGCTACTTTTTCGTGATGCCAGTTGCCCACAACTTATTGCTGAAAACTAGACCAATATGTCTTATAAGTTGACACAAGTTGAGGTTGAATTCTAAGTGGTTACTTTGTTTTTGAAATAGGCACCAGAGTTATTCACCACTTCAGGATATACCAGTATAGGAACTTGACTGGTATATGTATTACCTTCATGAAATTCTTACTTGGAGGAGCTTAATGGAATGATAAATAAAGATGATACTTTTAATTAAACCTGGAGTAGAGACCTTGAGATATAGTCGAAGGAATCCTTAGAATGGAGCAAATCTGGGTGCCTTGTCATCTTATGCAAAAGTTCAATTTTGTTCCTTTAGACGTAATTGAAGTTACTGAGCTTCTAATACATCCACACGTGGGCTGCGTGGGTTGGGGGCTTGGTGGGCAGAAGAACGGGACTAGGATTTAGGGTTGTAATTCTGGCTTGGCCATTTCCTGGCTGTGGAACCATGGGCCTGTCGCCTCACCTCTGAACATTTGTTTTCCCATCCGTAAAATTGGGATGGTTGGAGTAGGTGATTTCTAAGAGTACTGAGTTTAGGATTCTAGGTGCCCCCCCCCCATCCCACTCTGATAGTGAGAATGGGTTTTCTCAGATAACATTTGTGTTTGCAGTGTTTGGGATTACACAAAAAGATAAAAACTCATAGAAGCAGCGTTTTTTAATCAGCTGAGCCAACCTTTCACGACAGTACTGCTCAGCCAGGGGCAGCCCTGCTACTCAAGGGGGCGTTTGTGGCCATTTGATTGTCACAGTGATTGGAGGGGTGGTGGTGGGGTGGATGAGCTGGAATGCAAAATGTTACCTTGTGAGGGGACACAGGTCCACATACTAGGAAAACTGCCCAAAATTTCAACAGCACTACTTCCCTGTAGAGAAATACGGACACCCCACGTTGCCGCCTCCTACCCTGCAGCGATCCCTCAGACTTGTTCATATTTTCATATTTGAAATGCCTCAACATGAATGCATTAGAGGCTACATGGCAATGGGGGACAAAAACGAAGTTGGCAGGTCCCCAGGTGTGTCACTGGCATGCCTTGCTGGAATTGCTGTATTTGGTGGGTTGCTTATGTCTTTCCTGATGTTTTGGCTGATGATGTTCAACTTAAATCCCAATATCCCAATTAGTTGTGGGGTTTTTTAAAATTTTTATTGGGGAATTAGGGAGGGGAACAGCCAAGTTGTTCAATCTTAGTTGTGGGGGGTGCAAGCTCAGCTCCAAGTCCAGTTGCTGCTTTCAATCTAGTTGAGGGAGGTGTAGTCCACCATCCCATACGGGTGTCGAACTGGCAATCTTGCTGCTAAGGGTACATGTTCTCACCAGCTCAGCGGCAGCTCAGCTCTGGTGCAGCTCATTGGCCCATGTGGGAATTGAACCAGCGACCCTGTTGCTCAGAGCTCGCGCTCAACCAACTGAGCCACTCGGCTGGTCCCTCCCATTTAGTTTTTAAAAGAAGGCTTTGTTCGCAAGTGACAGGACAAGTAAAATTACTTGATAGTACTTTGCTAAGTGGATAGAGCAGACCTATGTTAGGTTTTTGATCATTTTGCGGAAAGATCCCAGGTATTAGAGGAAAATGACTTAAGGAATAGAGAAAAAATCTGACCAGTTGGCATCCTGACATTAGATCATTTACATGAATTTCTTTTTACTGGGAATAAAGATTGGGACAATCTTGAGATCCATGCCTTTTCATTGTGCTTTAAAAAGTGGCTATAGAAAATAGCCTTTTTTAAAAAAAAATGGCATTGTTTGTTAGAGATACCAAATTTCTGTTGTTCTTTCTGAGCATACCTTCGTAAAATCTGTGACTCAGTCTGAGTATGTAGAAGGCATTTGTCTTTGATATTCATGACTTGGGGTCAAAATGTGCTCTTAGTGCCCAATGTTTCCAAACAAAGGGAACATACTATTTATATGAACGTTAGAAGTCAGTCTTCATTCCCACAGTGAGGAATCTGTCATTTCCTGTATTTTCATGATACTTGAATATCATTGCATTTTGTATATTAACCCAAAATAAATGTCCATAGTTTCAGAACCATAGCCCGGGCCCACTGTCCTAACACTTGCGTGATCACCTGTTGGCTAATGGCCCGCAGGCCACTTCCCAAGCTTCACACTCACGCCCAGCCGCTTACTGGGCATCTGTGCGTGTATGTTCCAGTAACACTTTAAACTCAAATGTCCAGAAGGAAAGGAAGTCATCTCTGTTTCCCATGAGCATCTTCACTGCCGTCGGCGGCCTTTCCATCTACCCAGTAACCTACCTGACAGGCTAAAAACCTCCAGTCTTCCCTGCCCCCTTTTCCATGACCCCCTCCCCCGGGCCCACATCGGCTCCCGAATCCTGCCGGTTGTATCTCCTGGTACAATACGCCCTCACTGTCTACAGTCCAGCAGTCTAATAACAGCAGACTTTTTGACCACCGACTGCTGGCCATTAGGCTAAGTGTGCTTTATCTTTATGATCGCATTCAATCCTCAAAACTATCAGATAGGTAATGTTGCTGTTGTTAAGTTTATAGGTAGAGAAACAGAGGCACCTGGAAGGCCCTTGTCTACAATTACAGAGTTGGTAGGTTGGTGAAGCCAACATTTTATTTTAATCCAAGAAGATTCTGAGTCCAGAGCCTATATCCTGATCACTATCTTACATGCATCTCTTGTCAATTCTTGTCTGGGCTACTGCAGCCAGATTCCAAGCAAGCCTTTCTTTCCTCCAGCCCTGTCCCCTTAAAGCCCGTCTGCCTCATATTTACCGACTAGGGTAGAGGTTAAGTGTACGGGCTTGGTGCCTGGGTTCTAACCCTGGCTCCAACACTCCCTCGATGTGTGACCTGACTTCCATCACTTAATCTCTTGGTGCCTGTCTTCCTCATCTGAAAATAATAGCTCTCAGGGTTTCTTTAGGATTTAATGCACTCACGTAGGTCGAGAT